TAACTTAAACTAACAAACTAATAATTTATACTAACAAACTAATTAACTAGATTTTAGTTTTACCCTAAACCCGAAACTAACAAACTAATAATTTCATATAATAAACTAAATTAAACAATAAAAAAATTACCTCACGAACTATGTTTGAGCCTTTATCTTCTTTTCTTCTTCTTCCTTTTATTTCTCTCGGCAAAGTTTATATGTGCTTATGCTTCTGGTTCTGCTTGTGCTTCTACCCTAAACCCCATATCCTTTATATAAAGCAACTGAGCGTTGGACAGAGTCATTAAATTTGACTGTTGAAGCAAATAATATTAGCATTGCATCGTATAACTATTGAGCATTGAAAGGCTGCAATTGAACAATAATATTTGCTGCATTTGGCAGCTAAATTAACGCTGCAATAACGTAACTATAGATGCAACACATGCAACTACGGATGCAGGAATCTCTCAGCTATGATGCAACGCAAGCATACAGCTAGGAAAGTTCCAGAGCTTGGTCGCCGAGACTCCATGGCGACCTACCTACCACGCCGTGACTCAATGGCGACCTACACCGTTCGACGTGCATGGCCCATGCACAGTTCCCACGTCCCAAGCACAGCATGCATCCCACAACTCCCCCATGCATTCCCACGTCCCATGCACAGCATGCATCCCACAACTCCCCCATGCATGCTCCAATACTATTTGATTGCATGGCGACCTACACCTCCACACAGGTCGCCCGGATGCCATGGCGACCTCCAAGGTTGCTGTAGAATTCATCCCATTTCAGCAATTAATCTGGGATGTGCATTATATCGTGAATAAAAAAGTTCGAGAACATTATCTCGTGAATTCACCCCGTGTCTGGACATCTGCAAAACAATGGGCCAAAATTGAAGTGGATTCGGAAATATTAAATCATTCCACTTTCTGTAAAATTAATTAGAAAAGTCGTCTCCACATATCACATGTAATTATCGTAACTCAATTATATTTTTTAAATTCAATTCCATTACCACCTCAATTAATTTAGAACATTCTTTAATTTAATTCAATAAATTAAATATAAAAAAATTGTAATTTTAAAAATATTATAAATATGCATATTAACAAAAAAAATTAAATATATATCTTTTATGATCATAGATATCTAATGTATTAAATAACTAATTCAAATAGACTATTACGCAAATCTCTCAATTTAATTTATGTCATTCATAATACAATAATTCAAACTCTAATCTTTATTTAAAGATTCAAATGATTTATTTTATTAAACTAATTAAAAATTTATGATGAGTTCAAAATAACTATTTAATCTCGATATGTTCTGATAGATATTTCTTTACACATATAAATAAAAATAAATATTTAATCTCAGTTTAATTTATTGCATTCATAATATAAGAATTCAAACTCTAAACTTTATTTAAAGAATCAAACGATTTATTTTATTAAACTAATTAAAAGTTTATGACGAGTTTAAAATAACTATTTAATCTCGATATGTTTTGATAGATATTTCTTTACACATATACTGAAAATTATAAATAATCAAATAATATTATTCGACTCTTAAAATTTATATAATAACAAATTTAACTGTTAGGTTTTATACGTTTTTATAGGAACAAATGCGAGATTTTATGTTAGGGGATAAATCTCTAAACTTTTAGGAAGGAACGTATTTATAAAATTCTAGGGAGGAAAACATATTTTTAATAAAAAAATACATAGAAAAAATCTAAAATATATGATAATTTTAAATTTTCACGGTGTGACTGCCCCACTCACCCACTCGATTTATCTCTGGTCCTTCAACGTATACACGTTACAATAACTTTATCCTAATCTTTAAAAATCTAAACAATTTATTAAAAATTGGACAAAGATGTCTAATCTCCATATCTATATAATGAAGACTAAACGGGATGTACAAGAAAGCAACGCTTTGTAAAACTCTCATGAGGTGATAATCTAAAGATTATAATCAAATTATTACATTATGTACAAACTGAGAGAAAAAATTAAAATTAGAATCAAATTGATATTTAATGAAACAAAAGGAGTATAATGTGTAAAGATTAAATGTCAATTTTTTAGAATTTATACTAAATTGGTGAAATGTATAAAAGTTAAGACAAAATTTGTTGTTATGTCAATTTTATGATTAACCACGTCATCTTTCTGTCAAAAGTTAAAAGATTGATGATCAAAATGAAAAGATAGATTAGTTGAGTGATGAAGGAAAAAAATTTCTATAATTAGACGGGAAAAAAAAGATGCTTCCATATAGTTGGTTGACCCCTGGTGTAGTCTACCCTAAATATTAATGTTTCATGTACAGGTTACAAAGATAACAAGCAACTACGACGTCGTCTCCCTGTTATCTAAAGGCTTAGCTAGCTAGATCATATTCATATTGTCCCGCACCACGTCCGAATCCACCTGCTCTAGTTGGCTTATGACAGGCTAGGTTAGTTAGCTATTGGGATAGAGAATAAATTATTGATAATTTTGTTTAAATTATCATAATGTATTTTTATTTCAGTATTTTATATCTCAAAATTTTATTTTATTTATTAAAATTAATCTCCTGTAAATAAAAATAATTAATTAAGATGAATAATTTTTATTAATACGATATTTTCACATAAATTTAATTATTAATATATCATATGATATATCATTACTTTTGATGATTTGATATATGATATATCATTTTTTGATTATACAATATATATAACATTATTATTTTTATTAATATGATATAAATTAAATTAGTAATTAGACACTTGTGAAAATATAGCATTAGTAACAAGTATTGATTATTAATCAATTATTAATTTTTATTTTAAAAAATTAATTAAAATTAAATGTTGAAAGCTATTTTTTTAAGAAAAATAAGAACTAGAATAATCGTTTAGACGTATATTTAAGGTAAACTTTGACACTATATCTTTTTAATATCATAAATATATTATTTTTCATATTTTTACTTTTATCTTTTTTACTAAAATAATCTCAATTATAATATTTTTATTGGAATAAAAAATAATAATTTTCCAAGTTTAATGAAGTAAGTAATATTCAAGCTCATTAGTACAATTCCACAAAAGTCTCAATCCCTTCATTCTCTCTCTTGGAAAAATTGATTGAAAATGGGTCGAATCATTTATTGTCACGTCGAATTTTCTTCGCCCCTACACACACACACGATATATATATATTTTACAAAAAAATTAGGTTTGGAATAATTTTTCCAGTCGTTAAGGCATACCTAAAATTTAATTTATATTTATATAAAAATTTACAGATTGTCCACCAAGAGTAATGGTGGCAGGATTTGAACTTGACCTTACAAGCTCAAATTATGAATCTCAACCACTTGTGTCATTACTCATTTTCACACACGATACATATTAACATGAAGTATTAACCATGTGAATATAAATATGATAAATTTTATATAATTAGGAAATGTGTTTTGAGACGGTGATTGTTGAATCATATTATTAATCAGTCGTGGATTTTCTTTTTTAATTATTGAATAATAATTTAAAATAGAGCATACATATATACCTAAAACGTAACGTGTTTTTGTTATTTACACGTAGTAGACATGTAAAATATTAATTTTATTATAGTTAAAATGTCATATGTTCTTACAATATGACTCGTCCTCGTCTCTATGTTTTGTGTTTTTACTTTACTTCCCCTTTGGGATTTATAGTAAAAAAGCATAGGACATGCAATAGTTGCAGCACCTGTGAAACGTCTCTACATCCATTGAATTCAATCAATTCATTACTCGATTTAGTAGTTAAAAAGAATATTGTTTTCTTTATATGTTTTATATTCGAACAATTTTCTTTATATTGTTTTCTTTGTTCTGGTGGTTTGTGTTGGTTGTAGTATTAGCTTAATTTGGTCATGGAACTGATTTTTCTAGATTTGTCTTTGCTCGTTTTTGTTGCATCAGTAGGCCTGGTTTTCGTTGATGGTTTGGTAGTCTATTTTGTCATCTTATGTAGCGTTCTTTTCCTCCAATTAAATTAGGGAGGTTTTTAACAAGGCTCATAAGTTGATTCGTATCTTATTAATAATATTTTTCCTTCCTATCAAAAAAAAATTCTAAACAAATAATAAATTATACTCATCTTAAACTATTCAAAAGAAAAACTTTTTAATATTCATTGAATCGATTCCTAGAAAAATGAAGAAACAATAATTAAGATATCAAAATAATACATTTCTTTCATTATGATTATTTAATTTATTAATTGATTAATTTAAAATAAAAATTATAAAATTTTATTATAGAATACTTTTCACGACCAAATTTACTTTCATCATACTATTAAAATTAATTATTCAAACCTTAAAAAATGATCGGATAGATTAGACGTTTAAAATAAATGGAACGCATATGCTGACCGGTAATGTTTGACTGTAAATATTGTTTTTCTCTGTAATAAGTGGAACATTACCATTAACAATAAACAATATTCTCATGCAAAACTAGTCATCCTTTACGAAATCGAATCCCAGTCAAAACCAAGGAAGATATATATATATAGAAATCATAAAAAATAAATCTCGATATGCCTACATTATGTAAAAAAAACTATATACTAATTAGTGGGGTAGAACATTATTTTTAAAAATATTACTAAATATTTAAATAATGATATATTAAATGAAATAAATCAGATTAATTTTTTTATATAAATATATATATAATAATTAATTTGAATTAATGAATGGATGAATCAAATTAAAAAAAATATTGAGTAACAAATATATATATATATATATATATATACGTGCCCTTTACGATACCAGCCATAGGATAAGGAAGATGACTGCCATATAGCTAGCCATCGGGCCGCCTTCCTATTTTAAACTCTCTCTTACGACCATTTTTTCACACTTAATAAATTCCCTCTTCTTCTTTAAATATACTTTCCTTTTCTCTTTCGTTTCTTCGTCGATCCGTGCCCATATAACATGGAATATTTTCATGGATTTTTCACTGGCTCATCGACATTAGCGCCGGCGACGGCCGGTTACGGTGGATTTCATGGCGGAAAAGGTAATGGGTTAATGGGATTAATGGAAGTTCCTGAAAGCTTGAACGTGCATGCCGGTGTTATTTCTCAGAACAAAAGCTTCGTTGATGAGATCAGCAACTTGGTGAGGACTGAAACGAAATTGGAGAAGAAGAAGGGAGATAAAAAGATCAGAAAGCCTAGACATGCTTTTCAGACAAGAAGCCAGGTTGATATACTTGATGATGGCTATAGATGGAGAAAATATGGCCAGAAAGCTGTCAAGAACAACAAATTTCCAAGGTACACATACAAGTTTATTCTTTATGATCCTACTAAATTATTATTTTTCACTCACTAAATTTATTTTATATTTATATGGATGTATATATATTTTTTGAATTAATCATTGGTATTCAATCTATTGATCAATTAATCTAGATCATATTTTAAAAAGACTCATCAGACCAACTGATTGTCGGTTTTATATGGATGTATATTCAAATACATTAATAGTATATAATTTTATAAACTATCACTAAGGGAACTCCTTTAGCGGGATAGTTATGTTATATAACCTAATAATTTAAGACTAACAAAATACGAAAATTAGTGCAACAAAAAATGTTACAAAAAAACATTACATTTTAGGTTGGAGGCAATCTAAAATGTTACATTCGGTGAAACTTATAATGTTACGAAGAATGTATTTTAGGTTGTATCAAACTTAAAATATTATTTTTTTATAATATTTTCGATCACGATCATTTTCACCATTTTTAGCCTTAAAGTAAGCTATCTTTTTTTAGACTTTCGCCATTGAATGACTGGTAAAAAAAAAAAGAATGTTGATTTCTCTTGAATATTGAGATTCAAACAAATACATATGTAGAATATATGTGTGATCAATAAATTAAAAAATTATGTATAAATATTACTTTATAATTACATACTATTAGAAAAAATAATCTATCACTAAATCAAATTTTAATCTATCGTTATAAATGATCTCATTTATAATATTTTATATCGAATTTATTGATAGTATATATTACATCAAATATGAACTCTTACTATATGTTTATATCTCATGTTTGATACATTTTTTTTTTATCAAATTTAATCATTTTTGAGGATTTTGTATGGTTTCAAAATAATTATAAAATTTTGAAGTATAAAATACGTTAGAGGTCACTAAAATATGTTTAAATGATGATATTGATCATTAAACTTTTAAAAACTAAAAACATCATTAAATTTATCAATTTATTTATAATAAATTGTAAGATTTTAATAATTTATTAACTATTTTATAATATTTTGATAAATTTTAATAAATTTTTAATAACCATTTAAAATTTTTAATAGATGTTTATAAATCATAAAAATTCAGTAATAATATAGTTTGGTAATCTCTGTGTACTTTACTCATTCTTGAAACTAGTAAGCTTCATGGAGTAAGCATCATTATTAATTTAATTAATTTTTTATTAACTATTTTAACTTTTTACAGAAGTTATTATCGATGTACATATCAAGGATGCAATGTGAAAAAACAAGTTCAAAGGTTAACCGAAGATGAAGGCATAGTGGTGACAACTTACGAAGGCATGCACTCCCATCCCATCCAAAAATCTAATGACAACTTTGAGCATATCTTAAGCCAGATGCAAATCTACACCACTTCCTTTTAAATCAAAACATTTTTATAATTAAATATGTAAAAAAAATGAGAAATTTGTGTCTTTTAGATCATTTCTCATGTGCGAAATGGGGAGAAGAATAAGAATTGGTTATGTTTATTATCTCAAAATCAGAAATAGATGTTTTTTTTAATGAAATTTGAGTTTGGATTGGCTTAAGTTAGATTGTTTTTCTTAAAATTATTTGGGTTAGACTTAAGTTTGGAGAGAATCTGTTTTCGGACGAAGCCATTTGTTAAGTACAAGGGTTTGTGGCCCACAAAATTTTGATAGAATTGCATTTTAGATCCTCGTTAATTTAAAAATATTTTTTTGTCAAAGTAAGTATTTAAAGTTATTACCTTTTTTTTATCTAGATACATATAAAGTATTTCTCTGTCAAAGTATAAATATATAAAATAGACCATCCTTTTCATATAGATACTAAAAGTATTTTTTAATCAGTATCACATGTTAACTTTTAAAAGCCTCGATGAAAAATATGATATATTTTAAGTATCTACTTTGATTAAAAAAAACTTTAGGTACCTAGATGAAAAAGTGATGACTCTTATTCGACCAAAAAAATAATTTAAATACCTAGATAAAAAATATATAAAATTAATGTACAAAGTACTAGAATTATAATATTCAACTAAAATACATTGTAATTTTATGTTGCTAAAATTAACATAGGTAAAAATAATCAAGTTATGTGTTACATTTATTGAATGATAAATTTTTTACGTAGAGGTTGAAATTTTGATTTTAAAATAACAACGAAAGGAAATATAAAATATATTTTTGACGGAGAAACTATTAAACACTTAAAACAAAATATATATTTTAAATATTAATTTTTCAGTTATTTTTTTTCAAAACTTATTATCAGTCTGATCAATGAACACTTCTAATATGAATATATATTGTATAAAAACATGTAGGCGTATATTGATGAGTGGATGAAATTACTTGTTAGGTATTTAAAAAATATTTATGAAAAATAATATATTTTTAAAATTGTTTGTAGAAATAATATGCAAAGCTGACACATGAATGTTACCTACACCAATAATACATATTCGATACACGTTTTTGAAAAACACTGCATAGAAACTTCGCTTTTCATTTCAATATTGCCACGTAGATTTATTGGTTGAGATTTGTCTTGGTTTTTTCTTCTTGTGTCATGGGTTTAATTCTTCTATGAGTAGTTATAATTAGAGTGTAAATTTATAAAGTTATATTAATAACTAAAGAATGCAAAATTATAAAATTTCATAAAGTTTAGAATAAAAAATATAAATAAAATATTTAAATTATATAGGTTTTGAAAAATTTTAAACAGTAAATATTAATTTTATAAAAATAGCTTTATTTATTTTTTCACAAAATTGATAATTGTAATAATAATAGGATTAATTTGAATTATTCTTTAAAACAAGAGGACCTAAAAGATACTTTCACCCTATTACACTAGCTTTTCGCACCTTATATATCAAAATTTTTTGACTAAATTTATGAATTAATCTTTGATACATTAAATAAAACGAAGCATAATGAATTAGATGATAAAATCATCATAAAGTTTTAATTTTTTTGACTAATAAAACTTATAAATTAAATTTACGTCAATATCTTATCTCAATTATTAGTTGATGAATCGAGATGAGTTATTATATCTTTTAAACAAGATTTGAAATTTGAATTATAATATTATGAATAAAATAAATTGAATTAAAAAAACAATTCTATAATATTTAATTTAATTGATCAACAATTAAATATTCATAAGTATATAAAACAAATAATTTATTAATAGTACATAAAACTATATATGATTAATGTATGAAATACTCACCCAAAATTTATATTATAAAAGTGAATCATTAGCTAATGTATTTTTAAACTTTCTTGATAATAAATTATAATTGTCTTTTTAAATTTATATATATTAAACGTTTTTTTACAGTTTTATTATTAATTTGATTTTATACTTCTAAAATTTTATATTTTTATTATAACATCTTGAACTCATATTAATAATATAAAACTTTACATGTGTTTCTTATTATTAACATATAGATTTATTATGTAATAACGAAATGATTATAAAATTTATTAAGTGGTCCTAGTGGTTAAGAGAACTATTATTCTCCCTAAAAGTTTTATTGCGTTTAAAAGGAGTGTATTGTCCATGATTAATAAAAATTATGAACATATTATACTTAGAGATGTAAAAGAACAGAGCGTTCAGTGAATGGTACATGAATTGTTCGTATAATGTCTTTTATGTTCGTTTGTTAATGTGAATAAATGAGTATGAACAAAAAATTTTATGTTCGTTTAATAAATGAACGAACACGAACAAAGGTATGTTTGATTCGTTTATGTTCACGAATAACCTCGTTTATCAGCTCGTTCATTTATGTTCATGAACAAGCTCTTTTACCTAATTCTAATTTTCCTTTTATTTTTTAAAATTTTACATATTGGTGAAGATATGAACTAAATTAAACACATAGTAAAAGTTAAAATTTAAACCGTAAATTTTAATGAATTTGATCACCAGTGACAATTTTAACATTTTTCTTTAGCTTGTAAATGAAATGATAAAACTAAAAATTGAACATATAAACGAATAAATGAACGCTAAACGAACATGTTCATGAACATATAAACGAATATGTTTGTGAATAATAAATAAGTGAGCATGAATATCTTTTAAAATAAACAAACTAACACGAACATAATATTAAAACTTAAACGATTACAAATCAAACAAGAACACTTTTAAAAATAAACAAACAAATATGAATATAATTTTATTCATTCAAACTCGATTCATTTACTCTCCTAATAATACTTTGTAATCAGTCAAAACTAATAAAAATAATTATTTTAAGATAAGAAGAATAAAGGAGCAAGAAGACTCATTTGTTATTCCTTCTACTTTTCCATTTTCAATTCACTTGAAAAGTCGAAAGGGTTGACTAAAAACACTGTACCCACTGTCCCTTTTTCTCTGCCAACTCCCCCACTCCACTCGTTTTTCTTCTACTTCTCTTATTTATTCACTCAACCCCTCCAAGCCTAGAAATGGAAGTGAAAGGGAGTTAAAAAGAAAGATCCACCCCTTTGCCATTTTCATTCATCCCTCTCTTCTACTCCCATTTCAATCATACCACTATTATTTCATGTTGAAATACAAATTTGGAAAGTTCAAATTAGCTGCTGCCACCAAACTTTCAATGGAATGTTTGAAAAAAACAAACAAAATAATTCCACCGAAATTTGGTTGGAAAATTAGAGCAATTGGCAGCAAGATTTTGATGACTTTTGAAATGGTAAAATCTCAATTTTAGTCATTGTAATTTAGGATATTTACAAACTAGTCATTAAGCTTCAACTATAAATACCCTAGCTCATTTAGCTTCAAAATATCCCAAAACATTCTAACTTTATTCCAACACTAGAGAGTTTCTTGAGAGTTGTTTTCTCCATTTTATCAAGAGAGAATAATCATTGTTTTCTACTTGGTCGATCGAGAGAAGTTGTAATTCCTATTTTCTAATAGTGAAATTCTTCTACCGTTACCCGTGGTTTTTATCTTATATTATTTAGGGGTTTCCCACGTAAAATTTGTGTCTCTTTTATCTTTAATTTTTATTTTCTCAAATTATCAGTTGCTATTTTACTCTATCCGATAGCCGTCTTCCGCAACATTTCAACCTCTTTCTTTCTCTTGGATTATATCTTTCAGATTTGGGTCAAATTCTTTCGAATATTTTTATTATATATTAATAAAATTTTAACTCGAGATGTTAGTTTTTTACAAGATTTAGCAGTGCACAACTTTCGTCTCATCTGCTGGAGTTCTGGGATTTTCTCAGGTACCCTTTTAGTTTTACTTAGCTTTCTTTGTTTCGGTTTTCATTATGTATTGGATCAGTATGTGTTGTCAGGTTATCTTTCTCCATTTGCAGTTGATATGATTTATGCTTCATGAAAATGTTAGGGTTCTTTTAGCTTCTCTACACGTTTTGTAACGAATAATGATAATTATTTCACGGGTTAAACGAAGAAGAAAAGCTGATGAACGCCATATGGAGTCTACTTTTGCTTTTCCAGTCAACGAAAGTGGTCGTGGCAACTTGTGCTCAAACTTCAAGGATAAAGAAAATGAAACATCCTATTTAAAAAAACTAAATCCTTCATGATTTGATTCTGATTCTGTTTATTTTATTTTATGAAGAATTATTTGAGCTGTTCAAAGGCCAGAAGCTGCCATTGATGAAACCTTCATCATTAGTTTCGTTCAAAAGGGGTTCGGCCACCAGGCGGCGGAAACCAAGTACCTTCGTGCTTGGTCGACGGTTGCACGTCGGACCTCAGAAAATGCAGGGACTCTCATCGACGCCATAAAGTATGTGAAGTCCACTCCAAAACCCCAAAAGTTACAATAAAGGGTCAAGAGCAACGATTTTGCCAGCAATGTAGCAGGTGAAAATTACAATAGCTTGTTGGTTGCATATAATTTCATTTGATAATCTGGTGAAATGCATTGTGTCAGGTTTCATTCTTTGGCGGAGTTCGATGCAGGAAAACGAAGCTGCAGGAAACGGCTCGACGGACATAACCGACGACGGAGAAAACCCCAACCCGATTCTCTGTCCGTAGACTCCGTTGCGGGTTTTAGACATATTCAGTTCGGTAGCCCCCAAGTGTTCGCCACAATCGCCGCAGCTTCTTCTTGGTTGGGGACCGTCAAAGTGGAAACCGATATAAGCTCGGACTCGGAGTTGAACTTCGGCAACCGAAATGGTTTCTTCCGTGCAGCTTCTATTTGCCAACCTCTGCTCGAAACAAATCCTTCATCAGGCGACGGTGTCAGCAGCCGGAAAATATTATCGATTGTGTCGAATCAAGCTATCGACTCCGATCGTGCTCGCTCTCTTCTGTCATCGCAGCCAGCAAGGACTTGGGAGATCGGTTTAGGCCCCATGCCCCATGGTGCAATCTGGCTCGGATTCATCCTTGATTCCAGGCATGCAATATTCTAGTGTAGCAATGGGGGGTAAACAACTGGGAACTAT